AAAAAAAAAAAAGAAACTGAGGCGAACAAAGTTGCCTCGTATCAACTCGATCACTACCGCATGTCTTTGAAGTTACTGAAGTAAGTATAGAAAAGACAAAAAGAAACGACGTAATTACGTTATTACCTAGATATTTTCAATTCCCAACCAAATGTTAGATCTAGATAGACACGTGATACATTTCACGTCCACGTCGCATTGATCGAGAATACGATAGATCGAATACGTTAAACAAATCGATATTTTCTATTTTACGATTAATCGGAATGTCGAGTTAACTTGTTTTCATTATCATTTCTATTAACGAAATCTGAACTCGATAGTGAAACAAGTTTTTTTTTTTTTTTTTTCTTTATTATTTACACGCGAGAAGAGAGAAGAATTAAAACCGGTTATCGCCTCGAAATAACATAGTTCCATATTAGATCTATTTTATAATTGATCGATATGTGTGCATGCCTCTTATACTAAATACACAAACACGATCGTATATACATACACGTGCGTACGCGCACTATCACTAACGATAAATTATCTTATCTTACTTATATAGTGTATCTAGAGCCTTGCGTCTGTAAGATCTTGTATCTTGTGTGAATTAGAAAAATTTGATCGAAATCAAATGATTATTGTCGACTAGTCAAAATTATTACGTACTTGACGTGTTTATCTTTTAGGCCGTTTCGAAAACTTGTAAAGAAAAAAAGAAAAAAGTTGAGATATATTATCTGAAAAATTTCAAAAGCAAAGATAAACTCAAACTTATCGATTCAAAATTAAATTGGCAATCCTCTGATCGAGGACGAGCGATACAAAAATGTTACCTTGAAAATTTGCATCGTATTTTAGATACACGCGAACACGAGAAGAGATACACACTTAACAAAATCTTCCTTTTCCAAACAACTTAGCAAAGCAGAGTATTTTTCTGGTATTTTTCCTAAGGACCAGGAATTCATATTTTCTAAGAGACACGATCAAGGGAAAATATCACGTTTCTTCTTAAGTTTATCGAAGTAGACAATAAGAAACGAGGTACGAAACGTCGTTGCATCAGAATCGTTTTGAATCGCAATCGAGCGTTGCACAATTGTCATTCTATGTACAGTTTCGAGAAAATAGACGACAGTGATGGGCAAAATTTAATTGGTTGAAATTACGAATAAAGTTACTTCGATAAGTTATAATTAATAATTTATTATTCGAAAAATAATAATGGTAAATAATTGTAAAATAATAATTGTAGTGGCAAATGGCCGAGGTTAGTTACGAATAAATGTATCATTCGAATATTTTAATTAAATAATTACTTAAAGTAACTTTATTCGAAATTTTTAATTAAGTACTTTTTCAATGCCCAAATCTGATAGACGAGTACAGTGTTGTTTTGGTTAAACGCGGCCATTACAACCAAACTTTCCAACACGAGAGCCAAAGAACTATTTAACTATCTGTAACATCGTTATCTTGTTTAAATTAAGTAACGATCTGCAACAATTCTCGATAAAATACATTATTGTCAACAATTTACGAATAATATATTTTCAACGGATTTCGATATTTTTCAAGCATATGTGTGTGTGTGTGTGTTCGATGTATTTCCAACTATTTAGAGATAATTTTGTGTCAAAGAAGGAAAAATAACGCGAATAACGAATATTTAAAATCAGAAAAATTTCATAAATTTATTCATGAATTTATACGCGAAACGGAATTTAAAATTATTAAACACGAGACATTATTCAACTGATGATGGAATTTCACAGATTTTTTTTTTTTATATACGAAAATGTATATGTCAACGAAAATGTTATGAAAATATAAATTAGAAATCATTATCAAAAATCGAAATACTATCTTACTTTAAGGAATAAACAAGGACGAAAGAGAGGAGATTAAAGAAGCGAGGGAAAGAAAATAACGAAATCGTTCAAAATTAATTATTTTTATTATATAAAAATAAATTGTAATAAATGAATGGTAATAAATTAATGATAGACGATTAATTAGAAAGTATAACGATCATAAATGATAATAAATAATAAGTAATTTATTCGTTACATTTATAATAATTATCGAAATCGAAAGATTTAAAAAAGAAAATTAAAAAAGAATAATAATTTTCATAAATTTCATAGTAACGATTATAATATAATGAATATACTTCACGAATTAATTTAGACATTTATAATTTCATCTTCAAAATGAATACGAAACTGAACTGTTTCGAATAATATTTGAATATTTTTGACTGCATCGTTAAAAAATTTTTTCTAATTATCATCTATCATTAATTTGTTATCATTCATTTATTATAATTCATTTTTATATAATAAAGATAATTGATTTTGAACAAATGGTTTCGCTATTCCCTTACTCTTATTTTTCTTCTATTCTTCCTTCCTTCGTTTTTATTAATATTTTAAATCAATTTTTTGATAGCTTTGGTATTTTTAATTTACAATTTCTTCAAGTATGCATCAGTTTTGTGATATATATTGATTTATATAAAAAATCTATGAAATTTCATCATATATTAAATAGTGTTCTTTACTATATTAAACAGAGTAACTTGAATGTTCCCCACAATTATTCAACGGTAATTTTTTTCTAAAATCTTTCCTTTATGTTAAATTATTTATAAATATTTAATATAAATATGCTGCTTTTATACAAATTAATATAAAAAAAGATTTAAAATCCTATATATTTGAAATGAAATTCTTCTTATAAATAGATCTTAATAATTAATTTTAAATATTTTGAGATAGAATATTAAATTTAAAAAATTTTAAAAATATGTGGGGAATTCTAATGAAAAAAAAAAAAAAAAAAAAAAAAGAAAAAAGAATTTTCTCGCTTCTCTTCACGCAATTTAGAATCCTAAGAGTTTGCAAAAATTATCTATCATAATACGTTACAAAATATTCCTCAAAAATCTTAGGTAATAAAAATTCATTACCTTTTCTAATTTGTAAAAATAAAATTTATAGAAAATTTAGTATAAAAGAAATTTTACTTTATTTTTTATTACTAGATACTATTTAGCAAGAAAAAAACGAATGCTATTTATCACGTGCAATGAAAGCTTGTTGATTAGCCACACTTTAAACGACGAAAGGATCTGTGGGGGGTACAAAATGCACGTAACATCTCGTCTATTTCAACGTAGGCATATTGTATTTGAATAGAATTCGATGATCTATATCTTCTCTATACGAAATCTATCTCCTTCTCGATAGCTAATCGCACTTTTATCGAGAATATTTTCAGTGGTATCTACTAGAAATAATAGTATAACTGCTGGACAGAGAAATCGAAAAAAAAAAATGGATTCGAACGTATGAAGGATTCGATGCCTTTTCGAAAAAAGAGGCCAGTTAGATTGGTGAAAAGTGTTTAACACATTCTGTGCCGTCATATACAAAGAATTTTAAATTGTGAAACGAAAATCTTTGAAAAATTTTTTTTTTTAATCTTAACTCTTAACATCTTTTTCTCGATAATTTTGCAATATTCTATTCTAATAAATATTATTTTCAGAAGAAAACTATTAACCAATCTAACTATATAGTAAACTATCATGATAATTATAGGACGTTATCAAGTTAAGAATAACCTTAAAATTATCAAAAAAACGGCCAGGCACGGAAAGTGTTAAAGAATCATTAAACCGTTTACAGTTAACATTAATACTTAAAGAGAATTATTAAATAAAAAAAAAAAAAAAATGGATGATTATGATCGGGCTGTGCTTGTTCTGGCTGACAGGTGGTCCAAACGTATATAGATAACGTATTCATTAAGGGAAAAAAATATTAATTGACAACATAAAATAGTAGCCTGATTGTATTACACGGTGCATGAAAAATAGTACTAGAATGTTACGTCTTCGCAAATGAAGATAGAATCGATAAGGAAGAAGTATGGATTTAATAATGCTAATAAAATTCGTCCAATTATCCATGAGATACAATTGATTTTCAAAAACTTTTCGAGGTACAAAATGTTTGTATGTAATGTTGAGATTTGAACATACAAATTATAGTGTGTCTGAGATTAAATCGGAATCGCTTATTGCTCAAATTAATGAATATTATGATAACGATAATCTCTGCTGTTTATTGAGATAGCAATTTAGCAATTTAATTCAGTCAAATTGAGTAATTAGAAATAGTAATACATTATTTATAATCGGAAAGGTGAATGCTTCCTACTCGCTTAAAATGATGATGTGAAGTAATTGTAACCCATCAGTGATTCGTGCTGGGTTAAACGTGTTAAAATAAGATAATTTAACGAGCATTCTATGAATTGGATAATCATCTATGAATTGTATCATATTTTTATCTTGAGCAATACATATTTGTATCGATCGTAATAATACGAATATCTCGAATTAATTGTTTCACAACTTTCATCTTTGAAAATTCAAAACGATTTGCGAGTTTTCAGACACCGTGTGATTATAACAACAAGTTGACAAAAAAATAGTTATACGAATGTTACAAGTAAAGGAATTTAAATAAAGAGAGGAAAAAAAAAAGAGATAAAGAGGTAAAAATATTCATATGACGGTATATTTTCGGTGTAAAGCAGATGTAAATGTAATATATCCGTAAAACTACGTATATCTTGTAGCTTTAATGTACCGATGAAAGCGAAGTCCTTTGCGAGCATTTCGAAAATTCCAAATTAAATATAATAAACGTTATAAAAAATAATTATGAGAAATTATGCTCAGAGATCTATTCATATTTTTCTTTGAATGGCTTTAAATGGACTTGTTTCCGATCGGTACATATATAATCGGATTATTCGTTTGAATGTTGATTGTTAAATGTTAGGATAGAGAAGTTAATAAGAAAAAAAAAAAAATGCCCAATCAACAAACATCGTGCATTGGAAACATGTTTCGTTGTATAAGGAATTCTATTAGATCGATCGAATTTTTTCATCGAAATAAAATCTACATCGTT